AAGAGTATCTTTGGATAAAATTTACTGTAACTACTTGAGTGTTTCACATCTATCAGATCGGTTAGGAAAAAGGCTCGCATCTTCTCCTTCCTAATGATGGGCATTGACACATGACGGGGAGTAAAGTTTTCTCTTCATTTGCAAACCCTCAACTCCAACAAAAGTTGTTAGAAGGTAAAATTTTATAATGTACCTCCTAATACGCCGTGGCGTACCAACACCGATATCGTCTTACACAGTTGCTTCCGCTTGAGTTAAAAGAGCTGAGTGGCATGAATTATGCCCAGGAGAGGCTTGTGATCAGAGAAGAATCTTTATTTCAATATTAAACTATAACAGCACACCTACCTCTCATCGGATTTATTTCGTTAAGATAAAGAACAGTCGTCAGTGCAAGTTCGTTGCAATAGGAAATGTTAATTGAAGGAGTTTATATAGGCTATATATAACCCCTTAAGAATATTGAAATGAAAAAGAAATATGTATATAGAATATGCAAACTATGTTAAAAAAATTAGCCAAAGCTATAATATATCAGTATTATTAATATAAAACTATTTTTACTAATTTTAGCAATGCGAACGTGAATACAACGTGGGAAAACTCCAACTGCGTGATATATTATCAGTACCAATGCAACGTATATTAAAATATCATCTGCTTTTAGATAAACTAGTTAAAGAGACTTCTCCGGTATGTATTTTTCTTCTGATATTTAAATTTATATATTATATATTTGTTAATTTATGCATTTTTCAGATGCATGAGGACTATCGATCTCTTGAACGTGCCAAAGAAGCGATGATTGATGTATCACAATATATAAATGAAGTTAAGCGTGATTCTGATCATTTAGTAATAATACAGAAAGTGAAGGTATGTATTGAAATTGAAATGGAAATAAATATTCCAAAACACAATCAAAATTTCTGATAATTTTCATTTCCAGGATAGCATTATTGATCTGCACCTTTTACAAAATGGCAATAATTTACTACAATATGGTCGATTGCTACTTGATGGAGAACTGCATATAAAGGCACATGAAGATCAGAAGACTAAATTACGTTATGCATTTGTCTTTGATAAGATTCTTATATTGGTTAAACCCTTGCATACGAAGACGGGCGACATGCAATACACATATCGAGAGTCACATCATTTGTGCGATTATCGTGTGGAACAAAGTCATTCACGTCGCACGCTTGGACGTGATACACGTTTCAAATGTCAATTGTTGTTAGCGCGTAAATCGGGAAAAACAGCATTTACACTATATTTGAAATCGGAACCTGAACGCGATAAATGGCGTAAAGCGTTAACAGAAGCAATGTAAATACTTTTGCATACTCATTTGCGTTTGTTAATTAAATGTTTATAATTCGCAGGGAAAATTTGGATCCGCCGGGTTGTCGTAATACTGATCACAAAATGGAAATATGGACTTTTGATATGCCAACAACATGTCGGCATTGTTCTAAATTTTTAAAAGGCAGAATACATCAGGTTAGTTAAATATTATTTTTTAATATTTATATATAATGTTAAATCGTCGTGTATGTTATAAATTCTTCCAACAGGGATATCGTTGCAAAGTTTGTGAGATAGGTGTGCATAAAGGCTGTATATCATCCACTGGACGCTGCAAACAGAACTCAATGTTGATTCCACCGCCAGTTTGTGATCGTATATTATCAGAATTTAATTGGTAAATTAGGATTTTTGTAATAATTGTGTATTGTTTTTGTAGTTAAAAACCTATAGAGTGTTATTCTTTATATAAATATTACAATATATATTTTTTAATATATTCTTCAGGTTTGTTGGCACTATGGATCGTGAAACAGCTGCTGCCCGCTTGGAAAACCGAAGAGTTGGTACTTATTTGCTGCGTGTCAGGCCACAAGGTGCTTCCAATCCACACGAGACTATGTATGCTTTAAGTCTAAAGTAAGTTTCAGTGTGCATTTTAGGAATTTTATTCTCATTGCTCTCATTTACTTTTACTACAATATAGTAAATCTGTAAAAGTTTAGAAACTATAAAAAATGTTTGATTTAATAGTAAATGTTCTTAGAATATGTATTTGCTTGGATCATTACTGAACTGTATGCATTCATACAATGAATATATAAATTTCTTCATACCTTTCCGTAATATATCCAGACATATGGTCAATATACTAACCTATTTTGTTTTATATAATGATTGAATGTAGTATATCTGTTATAATAATTCTAATATTAATTACTTCTAGGGCGGATGATCACGTCATAAAACACATGAAAATTAATCAAGAATCTGAAGCAGAAAACGTATTGTACTGCCTTTCTTCCAGAAGACATTTCAAAACAATTGTTGAACTGGTTTCATATTATGAGCGAAACGATTTGGGAGAAAATTTTGCAGGGTAAATATGCTAATAATATTACATTACATTACATATATAAAATTAAATTAAAAATACCCTACATTAGTATTAACAATAATATTTATTAATTGTAGCTTAAATCATACACTTCAGTGGCCCTTCCGGGAGGTGTACGCAACTGCAATATATGATTACGAACCACAAGGTAGTAATCAATTACAACTGAAAACTGGTTGTCAAGTACTAGTAATTGGCAAGGATGGCGACAGTAAAGGTTGGTGGCGTGGAAAAATTGGTGACACGGTATGAACATAAATAATTTAGTTAAAGTGAATATATAAATAAAACGAATTTATTTTAGGTTGGTTACTTTCCAAAAGAGTACGTACGTGAACATCCGCCTACAAGTGATGAACTCTGATATTATAATTATGCCATATATTTTACAACTGAAGTCAAAGTACAACACCATTTGCCACCTCCGCAACAAGAGGAGGAGCAAACACTTGGTATCGCACCTCTTGTAGAGCAAGAAACTCTGGTCAATGAGGATCAGTAAGATCAGGTCAGATAAGGTCAGTGTTAGTTTATAGAACAGCATTTAGTTTAAATAGTTTTTAATTATGTGTATAGTGTATGTATTAAGCATTTTTAATGGTTATAATATCGTCATCTCTAATATAATTAAACTGTTTTTAAAGTTGTGTGTATAGTTAATACGATAATGTGCATTTAAGATGATTGTGGCATTTTAAATCGCAAAAGGAAAAAAAAGCTTTAAATACTTGTGTACGTTAACATATATATAACACTGCAAACTTTATATATATTTATGTGTTATTATATATTTACAAAATATAGATATAAACCAAGTATCTATTTATATTTAGCATAGAATATTCTTAAAATTATAATAATGTTATGATACATAAGAAAATGCATTTTAAATTGTATACTGACAAATTTTTGTAATATTTTATATTATTTTATTTATATTATTTGTAGTTAAAGCGACAACAAATTATATAAAATGAAAATTTCTATAGCAACGAAATTTTTAAAATTTTAACACAGATTAATAGTTAATGATTTAAAAAAAAATTTGCATGTAAATGTCTTAAAAATTTAAGTATCTAAACTGTCTCAACGAAATGCACAATTAATCTAATCTTTTGAATTCATTAATTACGATTTAAATTAATTTATATAAATTTAAGTTGAAATTCTTAAATACGTTGGACATTTTAAATTAAAATAATCAAAAAAATTATTATTTTTACATTTAACATCAACCGAAATGGTTTCTATACCTCTAAAACACTACATCTAACATATATTTTTTGGTACTGACATTTTATATCCAGTTGATAAAATAGCTGAGTTAGAATCGTTTCTGATCCATGTCAAGGCTGATTTATTAAAACAAGTAGCGAGTTTAAGAGTCCGATTTCCTAACTGCGAAACGGTTACTTGTCACTTAAAAAAGCTCTGTTGAAAAACGATTATTGTTGTAGTAACTTGGCACATAGATAGTCATCCAAATGATGCAACTGTGAATAGAAGGCTACCTAGGCATTGCATACGACGATTCCTTTTTTCGTATTATGAAAATTTAAACTCCTATCGCAACGGATTTAACATCAGTGTAGTTGACTACAGGCAAGAACATTCTGCGCTCCATACCGATGCAGTATACTCCTCGAGATAATGGTTGTCTAACAGCAAGCTATTTAATAGTCTTTAGACTTTTATTTCAAATATGAATTGAGAATCTTAATATTCATAATGGTTGTCTAACAGGAAGCTATTTAATAGTCTTTAGACTCTTATTTCAAATATGAATTGAGAACCATAATATTTATTACTTGGTTACAGTGACACTAGCACACTGTTTAATAATATCGTAGTAACAGTGTGCGCAAACACCCTTATTCTTGAAAAATGTTGCTTGATTGACACATCTTGATTGTGAGCATATTCTAGAATAAATTTGAGCAAGAGAGAGCGCAACTTGACTGACAGTTAAAACTGCAAGTCTCCACCGCGCTTAAATGAGTTGAGCAGTTAATGAACATTAACTCTCATAGTGTGAACTGGGTATTAGCGTTAGTAACATATTATTTACAAAATTATATCTAAATAAAATTTTATTGTTTTTTTGTGTTTGGGTAGAGAGGTTTGTTTTGTATCTTCTGAGTATTATCTTTTTTTCAAAATGCTATATATATTAAATAGATTTTTTAACATGCTTTTTTTTACTTTATTTGCTACTAAATTTTTAACTAAATGTTTTTTGAACAATTTATATCCTTATACAATATTTTTCCTTGATTCAAGCATTGAGTATTAAAAATTTGCATGCATATAAAAATCGTAATATTTTTTCCTATTTGGTTAGAATAATAAAAATATTTTTGGAGTGTTTTAAATTCTAAAAAATAAAAGATAATACTTTTACTTGTATCCGTAACTAGAAATGCCAAATTTTCAACTTTATTTATATAAAATATAATCTCGCTGAATATAGTCTTAAAAAAAGTAAACATAGTTGTAAGAATATTTAGAATTTTATAGAAGTATTGTAAAAAATTATAAAGGATAATTTTTTTTGAGGTTGAAATGTAAAATTTTGTGATGATTTCAAAATGATTGTGTACAATTTTGAAAAAGAATGATATGATAATTAAAAAGGTATTTACGCAAAGTAAAAATGTAATTAAGTCAATAATGTTAAGGACATTCCGTTTTTAAATTAAAAAAAAAATTAAAAATATAACTATTTATTACTCTTGCACCTACAAAATTGGCTTCAAATAAATTGCAATTTTATTAAATTCTATATGTGAATTAATTAAAAATCCAGCACAACTGTTTTTTATTTAATAAGCAATCAACTTTTACCTCTTCTCAAACTTAATAATTGTGCCATTTTAAATACAGTAAAGTAAACTATCAATAAATATTGTAAATTTAATTTATATCTTATATTATCAAATATATTTTTTATTTAGTTATAAATTTTAAAATATGTATTACAATTTATTTCATGCTAATTTTAATTATTTATAAAAAGTCTTAAATACTTTCATTGCATTATTATGAGAACAATATTTGTTGAGCTTAGTACAATGACAAGAAAAAGATTATATGCCCGACATATATAGTACAGAAAATTATTCACAGAATACATATTTTTAAAATAAATAATTGTTTTTTAATTTAAAAAAATAATATTGCTTCCGTATATTAAAGCATTTACGAAAAACTAAAACAAACGTTTAAAATTATTTATGTCAGGAGTAAGAAATGTATAATATATATAATTAAAAGTTATATAAAAAATCTATAATTATTTTTTATAAATATTTTAAAATAAATTAAATAAAAAAATTAACATAAATATATTAACAAAATAAAATTAATCTCATATTAAGTTTTATGTTAAACAACGAATGTTGTGTTGTGTACTAAGCTGAATCTACAATTAAATATATATATATAATATATACTTTATATAGTTTATTTAAAATGCAGTTTCAAAAATGTTTTAAATTCAAAACAAAAAGCAACACAAAAATTGTTTATTATCGAATATATCCTGTTCTTTGAATGTATATATTATTTAAAGTTGTATTAAAAATGTGCAAAGAAGGAATAAAAAATTATTTAAATGAAAGTGTGTGACCATTTATTTTTTATAAGATATAACATTTTTTATTAAATATAAAAACACAGTTTTTGGATATATATTTAAATATATCACAACATAAGGAAGGGTATGAATTGATTGAATCTTTTACCTAACGATGAAAGGAGCATATGAAAGGATTATTTCTAGCTTATATCGAGTAATTTTTAGCTTTGCAACTAGTTGAAGCTACAGTTAGTTAAACTCCAATTGGTGTGTACCGACAGATAAGCGACAGTATAAACCATGGCTTAAATTGAGCCAAAATAGTTCTGTATGCACAAAGAGGACGATTTTCTATCTAAATGTGAGACAAATGTTTTATATTGTGTACCTTAGGACAAGTGAACAGATAGACAATGTTGTGAAAGGTAGAACAACATGGGCACACATCAGGAATATATAGATAAATTCGGAACTATATACAGCTACTCGTTCTGAATCTGCACGTATGTTTCTGACGTGTCACTATACCTCATGTGTCGAAACAGTTATTGTAACCGTGTGAAGGAATAATAACCTTTCATGGTATTCAACCTTATTAATATTTTTCCTATGACAATATTTGTCAATTTATTTAAGGTACAAAATAATGATGAGATTAATGTACCAGAGCGTAAGGACTAAATTCTATAAATATAAATTATCTTTTTAACTTATTCGGCTTACTTTGGAATGGACAACCTATGTGTTTTCTACATCTGTATACATATATGCAAAATTCATGTTTGCATTGTTTTATCTTGTTTGTAGGGATGTTTAGGCCGCGTGCGAGTTCAAGTAAACAGAGGTAAAGTACATTGAAATTTCCTAGGGATTTTTTGTACTGCACTTTTATATAAATATTTATTAATTTATTTATTGCACTTATTAATTATTTTTGGTTAAAGTTTTCAAATTTATTATTTATTTATTAAACACCTAATATACCTCTTTTTTATTAACTCGAAGTACAGGTAAATACCAACATTCGCTACTACACCGACATAATTTACTATTTCCTTCAATTTACCATTAATTTACTCGAACTCGCACACGGCCTATATACATTATTACCTCTCCTTCTGTAGATTAGATTGACAATCGCTACACACTACGTATTAGTACTCTCTCTCTGTCTGTCTGTCATTGCTACATGACTCACAACAAAAGCCAAAGTCGTTTCCTAATCAAACATGTTACAGGTATGACGTAGTTTGTTTTGTTGTTAACACAAACTGTGGC